CTGGCAGCTTTTAAACATCTGAAACACTGTTATTATTTCTACATCCAGCGAGAAGACACAAAGTGTAATCCTCATTGCTGGATCTCAGTTATCTGCCCCTAACCGCAGCCACACACACACACACACACACACACACACACATGTGTCATCTGCCGGCCAGACGTGGAAAAAAGACAAGAAAGAAAAAGAATGGCAGGGGATGGGAGAGTCCTTTTTGGGCAGCGGCTCAGTATCGGTCTGGCTCTGTCACCGTTTGTATGTTCTGTTTAATAGAGTGAGAGCTAATTATTCAATATTTTTTAAGTGATGCAAGTGTCGTCGGGGCAAAAGGAGAAGGCAGCGTATGATGTCTTTGGCCTACGCAGTGGAATTGACAGTTTGGTTCTTTGGAGCCTCCGACTTCTAAAGCCACCCGTACAGACAGACGGGGAGGGAAATACGGATAATATGAACGGGTTGGCATAGCTCAAGGCAGTGCAGTGCCAAGGCATCTCTAACTTCATTTACAGACTTTCCTTGACATTAACAAAAGCACAGATCATTAAAGAAATACATAAAAACGAATGGTCTTGAGGCCCAAAAGCAGTAAGCGATCGCTCCGCATTGCACCTCACACTGACGACTGTGGCTTGGGTTGGTGTCAAAGCAAAGATACCATCAATGCACGTTGCCATGAGGCTCCGACCTCGATTGTCTGTCCTCAGAGCTCAGAGGAGCCGGGGAGCTGTTATCATGATCACCTGTTCTGTAGTTGTAACGGTCAGCGGTCAGTCAGTCAAATTGCTTCCGTGCTTCAACAATTGAGTTTGGATTAGTGTGTGTGTGCAAGTGTTTTGTGTGTGTGTGTGTTTCCAAGTCCTCCTCATTGTGGTTGGAGTAAATGCATTTCACCTCCTACCCAGCAGCAGCAACATTTTATTTCCACTTTCTAATCAGCCTCCTTTTATAGAGGGTTTTTGAGTTAGATCTAATTGCTGCAGTAATTGCTATTACATCATTTAGTGGTCCTTAAATAAGTAGTGTCCAAATTCTTTTTTGAGAAGCTCCTTTCAGTTGCCAGGCGGTTAAAGTGACTCTCCGCCTGTTTACTCTCCTCCAGCAGGTCTTCTCCTTTGTAGCTGCTCTTCATTTATGAAGTCATTTATTGACATTTGCAAACTGCAACCCTCTGGATTTTATCAATGACATCAAATTTTCTTTGGATGACTCAATAGAAAGAGTAGAACTGCTTGAATGACTTTTTAACATTTCATATTATGAATGGACTAGTTATAAATCATTGTTAACCAAACTGCAAACCTTACTTTATGAAGAAGGGGTACCAACTTTTCTTCTTTACTTTTTAGCTTTGTTCTTCTGACCGTCAGCAGATAAAGTTGGCATAGTCGTCTTCATCTCGGGGGAGTCTATTTTTGTGATAACGAAAAAGCTTAGAGATCCTTGAGTTGAGATTTTGTAAAATCAATTTTTGACATTTATGGACTTAACATGCTTTTATCGTAAGCAGCTTACAAAATGGAGGGATGTCAGATATTTTGGCGGGGGGGATATGCTGATTTTCTTTCAACCCAGATTATATTGTTATCAATCATTTTATTTAGCCCTCAGAAAGAAAGCAAACAAACACATTTTTACCAGATGATGCCTTTAAAATTCTATTCTTCCTCCAGACCAGCTGTATTTATAAACATTTATTCGGTTGTTTTCTAGTCATGGGAACATTGTTAAGCCACTAAAGACTTATTTTTGGCAACATGGGTTTTAGTGACCTATGAATTGACACTTATTCTAGGTCACTCTGGATTAGACCAACAACTGAGACATGAATGTCATATAAAATGTGTGTGTGTGTGTGAGTGTGTGTGTGGTGTGTGTCTGTGTGTTTATTTGTCTGCCTAATTCGGCTCAGCCCTTGGTTTTTGCAACAGCACCGGCCTTGTTTATTGATGTATGTTGCTAACAACAGCACCAGATGGTAATGATGATAGTCAACCACTCTCCTCAGGCTACAGAACAGGTGTAAGCTCACTCCCTGTATTCTTTGTCAGTACCTGATTGTTTTCTCTAATTTTTAACCTAGATTTGTTAAAACTAGTCTTTTTTTCTTGATTTTCTTTTTCTTTTCCTTTTCTTTTTGCTATCTTATTGCTCTCCTCCCATTATCCTGCAGTAATGTTGAGTGAGCTAGTATTTTTCGACTCCCAGCGAGACGCCAGAAACAATCAAACTTCTTACTTTTACCCCAGGGCGGTCTGCGAAACCCCATCGTCAATGGAGCCCAAAGGCAACAGCACAGTAGTGTGCATGCTCAGTAGTAAAGCAAAAAAAAATCAAGGAAAAAAGACAGATAAAATAATAAAGGGTCCTCTGTGAGTTAATGCCGATTTTTTGAGTCTTTGGAACGGCTTTTGTTTTTATAATTCTGAGTTTTAGTCTGAGAGCTTTGGAATTGGAGTTTTTTTATGCAGTGGTGCATCTCCAGATTCTGTGGTCCTACGGGTCCCAAAGGCCTTTCTTCATCTGGACCTTTCTCACGCATACTCGAAACACTCAAAGCTGTTGACGTAAAGACGACAAAATGGCATTTTGATGCTGTACCCCTAAACACTGAGCTCTTCTATTTTGTGGGAGAATAAGAAACATGGGAAAACTGTTTAAATGGCTTATAGAGCTGTTATTGTGGACAGAGGGGCATTATATGACTCCCGGTCAATCTTCTTCTCAGCACTAGCATCAATCAAGAAACGAGATGGAGATAGAGCGCAGAGAGGATGCCTTTGATTGTTTAATGTAAGCCAAAGCAGACCTGTTAAATATATAAGACTAAAAAATACCCAGAACTGAGCAGCTTAAAGCGATGGATAACACCTCTTTTTTAAAAAGAGGTGCTTATTCTCGACATAGCACAGAGACAGTCCTTATTAAAACATGGAGGGAATGGAATGGATGAGATTGGTCTGTTTCTGGGTACCTGGATCATCGTGGTAATATAGTGGAATTGCTGCAGCAAGGTGAAGGACAAGTGGAGGACAGAAGACGAAGGATCAAAGAACTATTAATTAAGGGAAAGGTTCTCGCTTCCCTGATGAAGAAAGATAGCGGCGGAGGGAAGGAAAGGTCAGTGGGGACTTGTAGCCAGACGAGAATGTTAGGGTTCGCTTGGAACGCTTTGACGCACTAAAACCTGAGGTCTCATTCTATCGTGTGTACTTTCTGGATCATCATGTCCTCATTCCTCTCTCACACATTCACTCATTCCTCTTTTAAGGGAAAGGTTCTCGCTTCCCTGATGAAGAAAGATAGCGGCGGAGGGAAGGAAAGGTCAGTGGGGACTTGTAGCCAGACGAGAATGTTAGGGTTCGCTTGGAACGCTTTGACGCACTAAAACCTGAGGTCTCATTCTATCGTGTGTACTTTCTGGATCATCATGTCCTCATTCCTCTCTCACACATTCACTCATTCCTCTTTTCTCCTGCATAAGGATCACCAACAGAAGAAAATTGCTCATCTCTCTCTGTGGAATACACCTATTACCCAAGCAAACTGGAAAAATACAGGAAATTTCGTAATCGGGCCCATATTAGCCCGGGGCCTTGCAAAGTGCTTTCAGTGCAGGTCAAGCTACTTGGGAAGATTTCGGGAAAACACGGTTGGAACAGAGCAAGGCGTTGGGAGTAATTAGGCGCTTATGGCAGCTCGCGAAGGCCCGAACACTATATCTAGGTCTTTGGAAAGTCTATGAATGGGTTTGGTGAGGTTTGGGGGGACAAAGCAGAGCAGTAAAATCTCTGGTTTGCTTACTCCTACTCCGCAGGAGTTTGGCAGTTTTGGAACTCTGCGTGGCTGTCCAACAAAGCTAAATCTCTTTTTCTGACAATCATGGGGAAAGAAATTCCAATGGAAATAAAGGGATGCAGATTTGTGTGAGCTGGAGGGAACGGTCGGTAACGCACGTTAAATGTTGCGTTGCAGTAATGGTGGGGCAAAGAGGGGCTCGTTAGAACAGTAGCTCAGGTTAAGACGTTCACTTTACTTGGCATTGTAGCGTGGAGGAAGCAAGAGGTCGGTGATACCCGCAGGGGCGTCTGCTAGAATAGGTAGAATTTAAGACAAGCTTTTTGGACTGAAAGTGAAAATTGAAGACAATTTGCCCACGATTGAATGATCTAAAGCCATCTATACCTTGTTGCTCACAGGACCGGAGCTGTTTGTTTAGTTTACTTAAAGTGAGCGCCAGGAGGTTGCACGGCAAGGAAATCCAGATGCTCTTTTAATGCCTCATGAAAAGCCAAGCCTCTGTCATCGTAGTCACTGTCGGGCAAAACGTACCAAGAGCTGGAAGCGAGACAGAAGACAGGTTCGGCGCAAACACACGCGCAAATTAACCCACGCACACAGACCAACACATGGACACGGTCTTTCTCTACGCCGCATACTGAAGTAAACACACTGGTTGCCCTGAAGAGAAGTTTGGTTTCATTGTTTAATGACTTTGCTATTCCCCACTAATGTTTCACATATGAGATAGAGAGAAAAAGAAAGAAAGAGAGCAGACATCCATCTTCCTCTCACTGACTCACTTTTCATTCCCATTCAAATCTTTTACGCATTTTCGATCTGATTTCCTCAGACAACTCGATTACGTTGGCCAGAGCCCATTTGTTTTTATACAAAAAATTAGGGAATGGAGTTTATGAGTCATAAGAAACATCTTTCAACTCAATCTTATTAGTCACCTTGTTTCTCGACGGCTTCTTACAAAGTGTCCTTTTTGTCCAACCTCTTCGTCAAGAGAGAAAACAGAGCAACACATGTTTGCACTGGACCGGGTGTACACTTACAGTACAGACCTCACACAAAACCATGCACACACACACACACACACACACACACACACACACACACACACATTCTTAGCCTGTATGTTCAGCTTGAGTTCAATGAATCACTGACCCCAGAGAACTCTGCAAAACCAACCGTTTCTCTTCTTGAACTTTCAGAAACCACAGACCATGGATCAAGTAAATATGACAAGTGAGTGGACTTCCTGTTACCTTGCAACCCAGATCCAATCCTCTTTCTCCCTCATTACAAGCCGAACCTGAACTCTAACTCTCCGCTCTCTGTTTTGTTCTTTCCTGCGCATGTTCGCACGTTGCTCTGATCCTTAGCGGCAACGGCGGCGGAGCTGTGCAGAAGGAGCGAGTGAAGGGCAAAGACGAGACGTACTGGAGAGAGATCAACGCCGCCATGGCCTTGACCAACTTGGCACAGGGGAAGGACGGCGCCTCCGGGACCACCAGCTGCATCATCCAGAAGTCCTCCCATATAGCAGAGATCAAGACTGTTAAAGTGCCGCTGATGCAGAAATATTAGCCTGACGTCATCCTCCCATCTCTCTATGCAAACCAGCAGACATTCCTGTTTCAGCCTACTCGCCACATAAACTCCCAAGGAAGTGAAAAGAGAACTGTTTGTGTAGGGAGGGGTCTGTTTGAGGCGAGGAAGTGTGGAACAAAAACATCAGAGAAACCATCGTTTTTGGTTGTAATTGGTGCCTGAAGTAGTGCAAAGGAGGCTTTGGCCATCATTTTCTATGCTGGGTTGACAGACAAATATCGAGGAGTTTTTCTAAAGTATTTCCTAAAATAAGACACTTTTGAAATGTTAACTTATTTTTGATGAGTCAGATTTTTTTTTATTTCTCCTTTTTATGCTACGAAAATTTGTGTTTTGACCAAAAGTGCCTTTGTTGTTTAGGCAAATAACTGGCCCGACTGTGGTCAATGAGGTGCCTCTTTGGGATATTTTACAAGGTTTAGAGTCACAGTCGTGATTCAGGGAGCGTTTTTCTGAATGGAAACTCCCCATACACAGCAGCCTAGTGCCTTAAGGACTGAATGAGCTCACCATCTGAGGCACTGAACTCAAATAGCACACACACATACACGAACACAAACTCTCTTGAATAAATACCCGACAGTAAACCCCTGAAGGAGTTGTGCTTATTTTGACTGGAGTATTCGTTTTGACTGTACACTGTTTAGTCTCAGTCAACCTCTCAACAATAACCGTCAGATACGTAGATACGATGCCCTAACGTGAGCAGCAGATCCCATTGTCCACATGTCGGCCTTGGATTTCATTACCCAGTGAAGGATTCCGTTCTTATCTGGGCTGCTTAAGTGCTCAGCTGGACCCAAATGAAATCGCGCCCCCGACTCCAGCAGTGGCACGGATGTACGTAGACCGAAGGGCACACTTTAAGGCTCAGTACAGTATTTCTTCTGACAGACGAATGCCATGACCTAAAAGGGATGTTGTTGCTCTGCATTATCAGTGTTTTATGTTGACTGTGTTGCATTTTCACATGTTTGTGCTCAAAACAAGATAGTCCGAAGTGAAGGAAAAGAAAAAGGAAAAAAGAGTCACGATCAGACCCCCCCCCAGCCTTTTGATCCCCAGCCCTTTCAGCTGTTTAGCATTACATCCAAATTGCTGTTTACAAAAAGCCAGAGGACAGACTTAAAAGTTTGACTTTCTCCCCCTCGCCTTTCCTTTTTTTGTTTGTCTTCAAAAATACATTTCAGTATTATCTTTTTGTCAGCCAAGCAAGTGTTCAAAGTGTTTGTTATTGTCAATCTGTACATGTGTGGTCGTTTTGTTTTTGATGAAGACGTCGTACTTGGTTTCACTTAACCGTAAGAGCTTCTTTTGTCATCAAATGGAAAGAATCTCGTTTCTGGTAAGGACTTGTGTACGGTTCATATGTTGTAAACATTCGTGCTGGACGGTGCCAACTTCACAAACCGGGGGAATTTAGTTGGGAGAACTTAAAGTAGGCTCTCTATTCTGACTTTTTAATTGTATGTACATCTTTAAGGTACTGTTTATGTGTGTCAAAATGTACACTCCATAAATTGTGCAGTTCTTTTTTTTTTGACAACCCATACTGTGTTTATGGTAAGGACTTTGAGAAGGAGTAAAGCTGCGCAAAGTGACTTTTTAACCTTTTTTATGTCTTGAATGTGCAAACTGTTAAAAAAAGAAAAAGAAGCTGCACTTGGTACAGTTATTGGTTTTCACAAACATACAGCCTCCATTGATAGATTTCACATAGAGGTGATGAGAAGTAAAAGCAATGAAGGAAAACCCTGTGTTATTCCTGTTAGCGTGCTTATGGAGGAGTAATGAAATCAATCGCACTGGCCAATCCCCAGGCACTATTTGCTGATGCAGCAGGGGTTCTGGGCTCCCACATGTGTTTTTTATACACCTGATCCTGGCAGGGTAGCTGCGGGGTAGTGCCGGCCCGCTCCTTGTGTTTCTAATCGCACCTCTGGACCACTCGCGACCCTCACACAATACCCGCTCGCTGGCAAGAGAAAGTGCGAGAAAAGGAAGCTTCAGAGGCAACAGAGCATTCTTTGTTGTTCCTATCTGCACTCTTTTCTCAACAACGACACCAGCTCTATCAAAGAGATTTTCCACGGCCAGGACTTTGTCGAGCCCGCTTTCACAACCATACAGACAAATCGAAAGATATTGGTATGTATTAAAGCCTATAAATTATTATTGCACACTTTGTAAAAACAAAGGGGTGACCATAGTTTGTTTTTTTATTGTTAAGTTATATAAATTGAATTGAATTTTCCTTTTTGTTTGTTTTGCTAGAGACTGGATTTTCAATCCAATGACCAAATGCATATCTCCTTGTATTGTCCAAGTTGCTCTCATATACAAATTTCTTTTTATAAAAATGTTGTTACTTGATCAAAGCAAATAATGAATAAATAAACCTCTCAATGAAATGCAAAGAAACTTGTGTTGGCCTATTTGTTAATGTTCATTTCCACTAGCCCTTGATTTTTGCATTTTTTGGGGGGGTGAACACAACATATCATCACCTTATTAATGATTAACCTGTTACCAAAAAATAGCACATTTTTATATCCCCTAGATCAGGGGATGTAATTTTGGTCTATGAATGAACTAATTCTAATTCTGTCTCTTAAGCTGCTAAATATTTCACTATGTTCACTAGCTAACTGCTGACTCTCTAAAGCGTACAATGATTTTTATTTGTGAAAAAGAAAGAGAAAGAGGTCGATGTATGCAACGAGACTTAACGTAAAGCATTTAAAGTCCAGGCCGTAGATCAAAACAATTAGCGTAAGATGCTAAAGCACTTTGCAGAACCATGAGGAACTGACAATTTGGAGACTATTGTCTCTACAAACCAACCCTTTCCCATTACATTTAGTTTTATATTTAAATTTTAATATAAAAAAATCTTTAGTGCAGCCATTTCCCCTGATCTTTTCTAGAAAGCCTCACATGATATGCAGGGTGTCATTGCGTCTATCATTTGAAAGGAGAGGACAAGAACAAATAAGACAAAATATGAATTTTAGTTAACTTTCTTGATGTCACCTAATTTTAGTTAACTTTCTTGATGTCACCGGCTAAAGTCTTAACTCTAACCTTAGGCCATCGCTCGAGTGATCGCGATGTAGGAGATGTTTGTGTATGAGACACAAGGCGTGGTGGTTCAGAGTTAAACAAACTAATCACAACAAACCATTGGAGGAGCTCAATATACACAGCAGGGATCTGCATCAACCACATGCCACACACAAGTGGTTTTGGCCCCACCGTTGGTCATCGCCGGTGTATTTTTGCTACCTTACAAAGGATGTTGGGCGCTTCGCTTTATTTGTTTTATCAAATCAAAATCTGCGGCTCAGGAATTCAATGGCATCAGCACCAGCAGGAAGAGACAAATGTCTTTAAATAAAGATTTCAAAAGGTTTGGGTTCTCTCTTTTGTAATGTGGATACCTAGAGAGCTGTGTACATATTTGAACCCCAGTGGTATTGTGGATCCAGTATGATAACATCAACGGACAACTGATTCTTTGTGTCTGGGTCTGAAGGCATCTCAAAGAGGCGAGGGGAAGCCTGAATTTACATCTTGTACTTCCTTGGTGTGTCCCTTCCCTCGGGACTAAGTCTCTTTTCTCTTTTCTGTATATTAATGGCTCTACCATCCCACTGCTTTTCCTGGACATGAACTCTGCCACGGAGCGTAGGCCAAGAACCATCTAACATTGGGTCAGGAAATATGGAACGTGAAAGATCCTGAAGGAGAAAACCAAATTGCAAGTAATGATTTTGAGAGACAGGAATAAAAGGTGTTGACAGCAGCCGTTCCCGAGCTGGTTGCAGCAATCACCACAAACGCTAATGCTGCTGAGTGTTGGACGGCCCTGTGTACTGTGCTTTCATTTGTCTGTCAGAACCAATAGGGACTAAGCCTGTGGAGTTGCCAAGCAGCCAACAAGATGCCCAGCTGGTTTCCCCGTGGATCATCTGCCTCTAGATCTCTGCTTGGACCTGTGAGATGGTTGCATCCGGACATTTTCTGAAACAATCCGATCAGATCCGTTGACCTCTCGGTCCTCACTGCTCTGAGCAGGCCAAACCCCACCTTCGCTTAGCCACACTTTCCATTGAAAAACTAAGTGATATTCCATGCTGCCTATAGCTTCTTCCTTCATTTTCCCCCCAATGCTTCCTCTCTGCACTGCTGACAGATTTGAAAGGAACTGCATGGTTATCTCGGTAGAGGGGAAGGACAAGTGGAGATTCTCGCCTGTGACTTGAGAGACTCCAGACTTCACCATGGCCATTTAGTCAGCCAGAGTCTCGACTTCACCGACAGCGGGCAGAACCACACGGAATGAAACCGGAGAACGCAGACGTCCTGAAAATCATTTCCCCATTTGATGAGGAAATACGACTCCCGTGGCATACTGAAGTAGTTAGTTACCTGGCTGTGAAGGATGCACCAAGGAGCCCCTGTTCATTAGCCAGGACTTAGTCTTTTGCTTCCTCCTGCCCTTGGACTCAAATATGAGAAAAATAGCTGGAGCCAACTGTTAGATCCCTGAAAGAATTGACTGATTAAAAACTCATTTTGGGATCGGGCTGTTTTAGATCAGCTGTTTGAGGAGGAGATGCATGCAGTCAACTGCTCAAATTATGGACTCTGTATGAAACAGAGCTAATCACACAGGAGGCACAGGGTCAGAGAAGCGTTATTACTTTGTAGACAAATTCTATTAACATATTAGCATATTTTCCCAAAGCACACTTCGCAGATGTCGGACTTTGAGAACACTGAAGATTAGACGATTACTGATCTACATCAATTTCTTTAATAAAGGAGGTATGCACTGGGAAAAATGTGTTATTTCAGTATACGTTCTGATTTCTAGCTTGCCTTCAACCATTTTAAATTCTTTGAAATATTTAGTTATATTGTACATATGTTCAAAATAGAAAAACCTGTGGATCCAGGCCATACTCCCCAAGGTTCGATCAGATCCTCACGCTTCTTTCTGCATTGTGATTTTTGTTTCAGACGAGATTTATATTATTTCCTCAAATCATTCATTTGAAAGCGAGCAATACACTCCATGTTTGTCTTCCTGATTATATTGTTGTATTAAAGGTCTTTTGCGATATTCTCTGTGTTGAGCTAAACTAAGGCAGTTGAAAAATATTTCCTGTCGTCATTTCTCATAATAAACGTCTTTAGAAACCACTGGGAACGAGAGAGAAAGAGAGAGAGAGAAAGAGCGAGAGAGATGCTTGCACTGAACCACAAGCAAACGCTGTGCTTGGCCAAATGGGGACATGCCGGGTGTTATTCCAGGTGGACATCATCTCTATTTTGTTTTGGGAGAGAGTCTGGGTCTGAAACGGGCGGAAAAATGTGACACGTGCCAGTTTTAAACAAAAAGGGTGAATTGCTCTCCCCAAAATGGGCTGTGGAGGCATGCACATTGTTCTGATCTGAGAGGACTGGGGAATTAGTAAATCTAAATGGTTATGAAGCACTGCTCAGTTGCCAGATTAAACTGCTCAAACAGAAAGGAAGGCCCACTTTTCACAAATTAAAAAATGAATGGGTCTTTGGAGGTCTCTGCGA